ACTATTAATCAATTCTATCTAGATGAACGCGTCATTGGGACGGTACTAATGGATATTTTTGGCCGCTATTGAAAATTTAGTCGATTGCTGCATTTATATATGGGCCCAAACAGTGTTGGAAAAGTTGGCGATATTTCACGAAGTTCACCATGGGAAAAGTTCGCGAGTCATAGTGAGTTTTCGCGAACTTTTCCATCACTGGGCCCAAATTAGGGGCATTTAGGCCGACATTACATCCATTTCCCTACATACTTAAATCAGAAATCCATACTTTACTTCTTAGTAATATCATCAATTTTCTTTGCAGTTTGAAAACTGTCTGACTTCTATTTGTCTTTCAGAAATAGGAATAAATGAGTGGTATTTTTAAGTTCCTTTAATGGTTATAGCTCTTGATTATTGTTCGTTAACTCTTGTTTATTAGTTTCATATTTTTCAGTAGTTGCATAACCAAATAAAATTTGTGTCAGCTGATCCTCGTTTCGCTTCTGAGCCCAATCGTATAGCTCCTTTGCATTTTTTCAGTGTTCCTGAATCACATGGACCTTTTCGGTGCGATGTTGCGAAGAAATGCCAATCAACTTCTATACTATATTTATTCTTAAATTGGCAAAGACTAGATTTTTTCCGATTTTTATACTGGGACGCAGCTCCAGCAGACACGAAATAAACTTTATTCATTGTCACTGCTGTTCTGTTCGTAGAAAAGCAAGCATTTGTTAGACAAACAAGTTTACAGATGCAGAATCATGGCGCAAATCTTCTGAAATGACTACATCTCAAATGATTAATTTTCCATCATGTTTAAAATAAATGTTAAATGGATGATTATTGCAGTGATGACTTTGAACATCGTCTTGTAATAAAAATGAAAAGTCACATTTTACTACAAATTCACCTTCCTGTAATTTATTTTTTGTATTTTCTAATTTTTCTAATTTTGCAATTAAATAAGAAATAAATACATCCGGCTGTTTTACTAATGTTTTTATATCACACGTGTGGGTTGTGACCCATTGTTCAACTAGTATTTCATCAATGCAAGTTTCCACGATTTCTTCTAGCAACTTTTGTTCGAAAAAAGATGAATCTATGCAGTTTTCACAGCATCGTAAGCAGCAATCTATTACTTTTCTTTCACATATCAAATTATCTGTAATCGACTTAAAATAAATGGACAAATCAAATTTCTTTAAGTTATGAATAATCAAATTTTTTTTTTATTATTATTATAGTCACTTTAACACTCTTGGGTCATTCGTGACTTGTCCGGGGGTGAGATTTGAACTCGTGACTTTGGCGTGAGAGGTATGGATGTTAACCACTACGCCGGGGTCGCCCCGTAAATAATCAAATTAACATTTTCATTAATAGTACATACACACACATTAGGTGTCCCTGAACTAGTAAATAATTTACTGTTCTTAGGCCTGCAATTCACAAGGGATGAAAACCCAACTTGTTCTTCACTATTTAATTACTTTTTGCTATAAATTTGCTGTTCTTTTTATATATCACGTCGAAAAAATAATTGAACCAAGTTTTGGATATTTTTCCATAAACTTGAGTTTTTTCAAAAATCATAATTTTTTGTCCATTATTTTGCCACCTTGATTCATAGTGTAATAGGTGGCATTTATTGCCCCCTATTAAAAATATATAAATATAAAAAAACAATCGTTCGTGCGAAAAAGTTTTTTTTTAATTTCTATTTTAAATTTAAAAAATATATGGAATTTTTTTTTAAATATTTCCAGATGTTTCCTATAACATTGCCGAAGGTATCAAACCGATTGGACATACATTTTTCGAGTAACAGTTTTCTGAAGATAAGCTTAACATTTTTCTATAAACCCTTTTTATAATTAAGGCTCGATTTAAAATTTAAGATACAAAATGGCATTTTTGGTCATAAGGAACGTTTCTGAAAATTTCGACCAAATAAATAAAAAGAAGGAAAATCCGTCTGGCATCGCATTCTGTTTTTTGACTATTGTACTGTGTACTGAACACACGCACATTTCCCGACCTAAGGTACCCCTCACCATCCCTCTCTAACTGGGGAGTTCGGTAAATAGAGATGATCAACCTGATTCGTACCTTCCTCAAAGTTTTCCTTGCCCGCTTTCACACTGCCGTACTCTAACGGATCTATCAACTCTATACTTTCATCTCCTCATCTATCGTATAAAATTACCACTTTCAGTCTGTTATTTGAAACTAGCATTCTCAACTATGTAAAATCGTTAACTTCACGCGGAAGTAATAAAAACAATTAGTTAAAGTATTTTTAATGCTTTTACTGTTTTGTTTCAACTGTATAGTTTTGCCGAAAACATAAGCTTTCTATTACAACATACAGTCGACCTTCTACAACTATTGAAGGGACCATGGAGTTATATGATTTTGGAGATATCGAGATGTAGAACCATAGTAAAAATGAATTTAATTGTTTCTGTGATGTCGATTTTGTATGGGATTTATATTCTATAACTCGATAATTTTATAACTCAATATCGAGTTTTAGAGAGTTCACTTGTCGTGGTCTAATTTAGAACAATTAATACACCGTTCGAAAAATTCATGTAAATTTCTGCGAGATATAGATATAACGCTAGATTTGGCATAAATTTAGGCGATATTTCGTGTAAATTTAAGCGCAATATCGCATAAATTTGCAATATTGTATGCAAGTTTGTAAGCGATTTCGCTGTTTATGCCAGGTATAGCTCAAAATTATACGAAGGGAGATTTTACGCGATAGTTAGAATTCAGATTTTTTTTCTGTGTACAGTCTTATTCTACTTAACATTTTTTTTTTCAAAACAGTATGGTCAGGATCATGAGATATCATATAAAACCATATTTATGCTCACAAACTTGAGAGCCAATTGTGAACAAAAATATACACCATCTTAAAGGGTCTAACACAACAAAACAACTTTGTTGTAAAAAGAGGTTTTTTGTATCGTCAGGATCATTAGATGTAAGTCATTTGTATTGTCTAGAAGACGTATTATATAATATAATATAATATAATAGCAAGAGATTTTTATCGACTGACCAAATCTTTATGGCCAACATTAGAGCCCCCTATGTGTTTAACCTAAAAAAGCTGATATTACATGATGCAAAAATGGTATATTTTGATCTGGTTAATCACTGATTTTTCATATGTTAGCCCCCACCTGCCTCAAATCCATGTGTACCCTTTAAGGAGAGCCCGTAATTGTGTGTAATTTGGGAATGCACACAGAATTTAGTTCCCTCTAATTAACTAGGACACGGATAAAACTTCAGATTAAGGGTTGATTCGAACGCTACGATATTTTATGTCAGACGTTTCAGTCTTCGAATTTGACCTTCTTCAGGGAACATGAAGTTGTACCATCTTTCATACTGGAGATCTCGGAGCTTTGCTGAAGTTTTCTGGATTTGTCTGAGGGTCTCAAATCATCTGTAAATTTTTTTGAAGTTTAATTAACTGATCTGTGATTCCCTGATCATTTCTGATGTTCCCGAAGCTAACATGACATACTCGAAAAATCCTCCTGAAGATGTTGGCAATGTTTTGAAATTAATAGAACTGTATTAAAAAATCTTTAACATCCTCGAAAATCTCTGGACTTCTGTTAAACTCAATGAAAAAATCCTCAGGACTTTTAAATTTAGGCTTTCTCAGGCTAAAGGAGAAAAATCTATTCAAATCTCTAATAGGGAAAAAATTCCAAAGGCCATAGCCATCATAATGAATTTGGGTTGTTAGCGGAATGCTTAAATAAAACAGCAAAAAAGTGTTATATAAGTACTTAGTACCCTAGGTAAAAATGTCAAGATCACAGGTATAAAAATGAAACTGCAATGTGTTGAATCGGAACCTACCTAACTAATAATAACCAAAGGTTTTAGTAAATTAAAGGAGAAAAATCTATTTGGGTGATGGCTACCAAGCATTTAGGATTTTTTTTTGAAAAAATTCAATAGATTTTTCTCCTTTACTTTACTAAAACCTTTGGTTATTATTAGTTAGGTAGGTTCCGATTCTACACATTGTAGTTTCATTTTTATACCTGTGATCTTGACATTTTTACCTAGGGCATGAGTACTTACGGGCGTTAGGTTTTTGATAAGTCTTTAGTGGGAATAACACTGATGAAGACTGCACATTGTAGTCGAAATAGGTATCTGTCATGGATACCAAAATTATTTAAGTGGAATTAAATGAAAGATAACCCTTTTTTGCTGTTTTACACCTTCTGTGACCTTCTCTAAAGTTCTTAAAACTTCTTAAAAGTTCCTGCAGTTTTCCTGATGCTGATAGAACCGCCTTGAAGTTCTCGAAGCTTACCTGAACTGCTTCTTCCTCAGAACTTCTAACATTCATAAGGCGGCCCAAATAACATCATACAGCTGATGGACGCAACTAGTTTCATATCTAATAAGCGCAGAACATTATTATGTTACAGGAATTCCCCGAAGATCGGTTTACCCACCGCTTTTTCTTGGCTGTCTTTTAACCAATTCAGCTTATTTTCACTAGGTAAAAAGTTTATGGTTGACTCTTATAATAAATACAAAAAAAATCACGATGGGTGGACGGCCCAAATAAACATCTAAATATTGATTCCTTAATATTTGTACCTCATGGGCGCAACACATTCCATATTTGATGAATGACGATCATTTTTTTGTAGGTGGATACATCTCAAACTGTATGTTTGGTGCGTAAATTTGCTTATACAAGCGCAGGGTGTCCAAAATGTCCCTTATGCATTTTAGTGCACAGCTTATGTTTCTGCACGCAGTTAGTTTTGATAAACATAAAACAAATCGGTTTTCAGAGCAGGCATGAGTAACCGCCATTGAATGGTATTTAATGGTCTCAATTAACAATTGTGGAATTACCCAAAAGAACAAGATTATTTTCTTACAGCACATGAGACACTCATACTACATACATTTCTCAAAAAATAAAACATAAATTAACGAAAAGATCGTACCTGATAAGAAGCTTCCTGCCAAGGAGTCATCTTGCGCACGGATTGGTACAATCAGTAACGCTATCACTGGTATAAATTTCAAAAACAGCATCTTCATTTCAGCACACCGTCTTCACTGCACCGTCTGTAGATTGCTTTGCATCAATTAGTGCGAATTACTGGTCTAATCACTTCACGGACATTGACATTCACTCAACTTTAAAAGCCTTTCCAAGCCACTCATTCCATGGGTTGTACCGTCGAGCTTGAAACCGATATCGGGCACTAATTATGTTGTTATTTAATAATAAATATCACTTTTCCCTTTTTTTCTTTGAGGCTCTTCTTTGGTGCTTCTTCGCTATCTTCTACACAATTTCTTCCATAGGACTGCTCGTTATTCTGATTATATAATTATACATGGATAACGTGTTTCCGTGGTTGATCTCACTTGTTAGTCGTTTCTTTTCAGATTCGCTTCACTTCTTGACTTTATCACTGTTTTATGTTTTTTTTTCTTCTCACAGAGCAGCGGGTTTTGTTTTCCGTGTTTATCCTCTTTCACTGAACCACTTTTCATGGAAGGCTTTTTCAGGTTGTCTCATTTCAGCCGCCAGGAAACTAGATCAGCAGCGGTAAATCGAACACGTCTTGGGGCTGCTAGGGGGTGTCTGTAAAATAAGGAAAGAGGAAGATAAGCTTTTAGTATTAGTGAGAGAAAAATCATATGCGTTTTTGCATTGCTTGCGCCTGTGCAATGAAATTTTCAAACGTGAGGAATTTCGGTCAATTTACGTGGAAACTCAACAATCAACTTCATCTAACATGCTCAATTGAAAGCTTAAAAAGTAATTAACAAGAATTCGTTGCTTGCATACTTTGCGTTCCGTTATGAATGTCAATTAGCACGTGTGACGCGAGTACTGTTAGCTCTATCGCTCAGATGGAAGCGCGTGCTTCTCTCTATGGCATTTTGATTGAGGCCACCTGTAACACCTGATCGGAAACTTCCAGTATTTCACCATTCGCATTCTTGACTTGTAACGACGAAGTGAAAAGAAATGTAGAAAAATGTGCAAAGGCGTTACCAAACATTTGTAAACAGACATACTTATTCCAAAAATTTAAATATGCATGACGATAAGCCGAACAAAAGTGATACAATCGAGTTGACCCATTTAAGAAACGAAATGCGCAGGCGAAGAAAGCTGATATGGAAACCCGGGAGACGAGAAACTTTCCAAGCCAGACAGCAGAGATCGACCACTGATGGCAAGCTTCGATTTTCTGGTCTGCTGATTCCGAACAGGGACGTATTCGTTATGATGACAGCATATCTACCACTGGAAAAAAAATTGGCCAGAATATCCAGTGATACGACTGTATTTTAGTGAACCATTAAGTTTTAAAGACACAGTTCACCCATGGTGTCTTCAATTTCAACGATGAAGACCTGCTGCGGTTCTGCTTGATTCGAACGTGATTGTAATCAGAGTCTTTCTCTTTCATCCTATCGAGAGAGAAACGAATTCTTTTCAACGGCCGGCCGGTGGTGAAAGCTGACACGTTAACGTATAGTTTGTAGCTACTGTAAATTGGCGTGACGTTGGACTCCGGGATGGACATTGATTGATTAAATAGTTTTGGTTTTTTATCGTTTCCTATTAGGCCCAACTATAAGCAGCATTTAATAGCTCACCAACAATAATTTAGTGGAGTAGCTTAACTAAAAGTGTTTGCTCCATGATGCTCAATCGGTTCCAAATCATGGCCTGATAATTTTCCCAAATTTTGAGCTCATTTTGATTGCGATCTCATACTCATTTCATTTTTCTATGGAGAAGAGATTTTTTTGTCTGGTCCTAGGCTTTCTTGCTATCGGTACTTATAGGACATTTTCTTAGCTACAGCTTTGATTGGCCAATTTTTGATAGAATGTCCGTATAATTATTTGGAAATTTGCGGCAATTTGGCAGGGAAAACATATTCAGATCTTATTCTTTTTTAAGATTGGTGTATTGATTTGTACGACACTTCATTCATATTAACGGGGTTCATATTTAATTTGAACCTTTAGTAACCCTATGAACAAAAGAAAAGCGTGTTTCTGGAAGCCTTATTTGCTGTTTTGTTTTGATTTTGTTTTCCGTTGCACAATGTTTTATCCCGCTTTACTCCATCCCATGAGCTAAATGACTTTTGAGCCATTTTTAGTTTGCAAGGCGTGCAGATTAGTGGGGTTCAAATTAAAAAGTGTTCTGATTAAAAACGGTCAGATTATCGGGGGACCACGGTTAAAGATTGTAATGAAATAGTTCCACTGTTTATGAAAAAGATGATTACGCCTTATGTCTAGCTGTTCGTTTGATTGCTTTATATAGCTATACTGAAGTTGGTTTTCTTTATTAAGGAGGTTTTCAGCCTGCGGCTGGTTCGCCTCCGCAAAAGGCTGAAGTTTTCAAATAGGGTGTTCTCAGAAAAATAGTTTTTTTTTTTTAAATTCTATCCTGTTGAACAGTTTTCTAAAAAGTAGTGAAAGAAAGACTTGTACAGCTTGTTGTAACATACAATTTCACTGGTGATTGTATGTTGTTATGTTTTGGTTTTCATGAGTTATGTATTTTTAAAGTTAATCTATTCAATTAAAGAAACATTTTATTCTCCTAATTTAACCTCGCATGTTGCTTTATGCGTGGCTTTGCAGATGCAGTCTCAAGAAAAAAGCATCTGTCCTCCGTCTTTTAGTAATATTTAAGAGCTTCATGTTTTTTTGGGTAAACATTAGCCATCATTCTTCAATGTCAAAGTATATGAACACACTTTGTCCAATAAAAAAGGAGCGGTTTAAAAAACGGGCTACTTTTTTTTAACAAAATTGAAACGAAATTTTTTAACTAAACAAAAAAATTGTTTTAATTGTAGCTGAAAAATTACTCTATAATCATCAAGCAAAGAACAAGATAAATGTCGTCCTCACCAATGTAGCTTGAAATCATATTTTTAACATTTTTTCCGAAGATCAAATAAATATGTTACATGTTACGGGTGGTCCCCATTTAAATATAAATCGAGAATGTAACATATTTATTTGAAATTATAGCTAGATCTTCACAACTTTTCATAAAATTTAGGACCATTTAATAACTTCTACGAAACCATCAAAAATCAAATAAAAATTGTGTAAATATTTATTTCTTGCTTGATATTTCTTTTCACACCATATGTGCAATGCCACGAATGTCAAAATAGGTCCCAAAGCCAAATTTAGGAAAACAAAAAAGTTTGCGCCTAAAACATTAGTTCAACGGGACGTTTACCACTTTGAAAAAAAAAGGTTTTAAGTTTACAAAAAAAAAAAAAAAAAAAAAAATAGAAAAGATCTAAATAAATTTTTTTTTCTCCAATTATAAAGAAATTTACTTGCAAAAACATGTTTTCTATATCATCATGGCAAAAAGTTGTGTATGTATGTTTGTTAAATTGAACAGCATCTAACTCAAACTGACCGGCAGTGGTATTTTGAAAGAAATCTGCTTGTAATCTCCATGTTCGACATTTTTGAAAGCATGTTTAATCTGGCATAGTGTTAGCTCTACTGCAAATCCTGTAACCCATTTCAGAATGCCTGGTAATTCATGTCCATTTCGAGGATACTTTCACATACAGTAAGCCCAGGATGTCTGCAATGGTATCATCAAATGGATGATGGTACGCATACACACTTCCAAATTCAAAAACAATGTTTTTGAACCCGGCGCGCACTTATGTCGTTTTCGTTTTTGCTACACTACACCGGTGTAGTGTAAGCAGCAATAAGCGCGAGTCATTGACAGCTCACCATCATTTGTTTGTAAACAAAGGTGCAACCGATAGCTACAACCTGAATTTTTTCGGTGTTATTTGGCGTAGCACCGGTGTAGCTACACCGCAAAAACGAAAACGACATTAGTTGAACGAAATGAGCATGATAAGTTTGTGTATAATAGGAATGGTCTCACCAAACTTGGTGGTATGATGACAATTAGCTGCTTGAAGACGTCAGGTCCCTTTAAACATCTTGAGTCAAAAGATAACGGAACTTCTTTAAGCTGTGCCTTGGGCCAGTTTCATTTTTTGACGTAGAACTACGTCTTTGTCCACTATACTGGGGGTGCAAATCAAAAAATATGTGTGGTGAAATAGTGTAAAGTTTTGTAACTTTGTCATTTATAAACGAAATTAACATAGGATATAACAACTTTTGAAAAATGTACATATGATAATTTTATCTCTGTTTTCATGAAATAAACGTTTTCCCAACCCCAGTCGTCATAATCGAGTACCACTTGGTTGCACATTGTTCTGCATGAACATGAAAAGATATAAAAGAGCGCTGCTGTCGTGCCTTTGCTCATTACCGCTTCGGACGGCGTGGAACTTATAGTCACTATATTCATAGTCTGGCGGAAAGAATTTCGATCTATCAAAAAGCGGAACCAGTTCAATATATTTTAGACCAACAATTGAAAAGGTACGATCAAATGTATAAACAAAACGTTGATTATTCTTTCCTCGCCAATCGAACGCAAATTACCGGCATCCTCGGATAGGGAAAACGTTCCCCAACCCAAAGATGGTGTTAGTTTGCGTAGGCAAGCCTTGAGTCACGAGAAAAGGGTTTCCGAAGTTTTGATCGCAATAGCTGATGAGCTCTTTTCTGTTGTTGGTCATGATTTGCTCGATTGGTTCCGCTATTTGACAGCTCAATTGGTTCCCGAGATTCTATCAGCCAAACTTTGAATATAGCGACTATAGTGGAACTGGGTCCTGCAGCAAGCAGGAGCAAGTCAGCGGTTAATGTGGTGAGTATGTAAAAAAGGAGGGACTTCGGATGTATTTTTTGTGCAGAATATGTAAAGAAGGAGGGACCTAAATTCAAATACCGTGCATCATAGACAAAGAAGCTCTATCTACTGTTTCCAATTAGCGCAATTACTCAGGAGTAGTATTGGACTTTTCCACCAAACACACATTTTTCTTGTCCATATGTTATATTCATAGAAAAAACACGGCATACATTTAGACGCAGTGCGAAAATGGCATAAATAGGTCCAACCAAAATCCATTACCCTACACCGGGGCAAGTTAAAACGCGTGGGGAAGTTGAAACGATGGATGTATCTCTTATAGAAAGTGAATAATCACTGATATTATTTCTAATATAGTAGTTTGTGGTAGAGTCGGCGTATAATGAGTCACGCCAAGAGTAAAGCCAAGTCTACCTATCGAACTGTCAAACCAGCTACCTATCGTGCAAAGTAAACAAACATTACGATGCTATGAAGGGTCCACGAAAGGTATTGCAATAAAATATAAAATATAATCGAAGAAATGATAATAAACACGCAGTGAGCATTCAATTGTCATGGGATACGTTTGGTAATGATCAGTAATGAGAATTTCTACAATTTTTTGATAAGATAATTTGACAAAATCACTGATATAATGATTTACTACAGCCGCTATTATTTTTTCTCGCTAGAAGTTGAAGTTGATGTAGAAGTCCTCTGTTGCCAAGTTAAAAGAAAGGGAATCTTTCGAAAACCGTGATGCGAGTTCAACTGTTTTTCTCTTGGCGTGACTCGTTATACACCGACTCTAGTATGTGGTAGTACACAATGCATC